CTTATCTGCCTGTAATGAAAAAAAATGAAATTTTGTTATTTGGAGCAAGATGCAAGATGAATGAAACTTTAAATAGGACTAAGGGAAATAAACCAGACTCAGAAAACACACACACACACACATCACAATATCCTTCACTTATGGAATCTTAAATGGGGTGGTGGGCGGGTTAAGTTTTGTAAATAAAGGAAAGACTATGAGGGCAGAAGGAAGAGAAGGAATGGGAGGAGGAAGAAAAATGTGCAATTGTGACTTAAAAAATGAAAAACAATGTTTCATGTTTTCTCTCATCTGCAGAATATATATAATTCATACATATACACATAAATGGATGACATGGAGAAGGCAGACTACTGGGGAAAGGAAATAGATATGGTAATAAGAGGTCCAAGAAAGCAATTAGGGTGAGTAAGACCAACATAGAGTAATATACATGAAAATATTATCATGATACCCAGTCATTTATATACTGACTAAAACAATAGTAAGTCATTTTTAAAAGATACTCGGTCTGAGGTTTTTCTAGAAGATGTTTTAACATTCCTAACTGGGAGAATCTTAGTAAGGTGTGCTCCTGGGTGGACTCTGAATCAGCAAACAAGGAGTACTCACTCTTGAAGAATTCACACAGTCCTTCATCCAGTTTTAGCATCCTGGAAGCAGGAATCTCACTAAAAGTTCAGCTCTCAAAGACCTCAATGAAAGTCTTTGATTATATATGAAATAGAACCTATATGCCTTGCCTGTTTCATAGACTCCCTGAACGACTACAGAAGCAGAGAAGATTCCAGATACTTGCACAAGTGGTATTGGAAGATCTATGAAATGCTCCGATTATGCTCACATGCAAGATATGAGAAGACAGCTTCCCTTTCTAGGGATCCACTACCTTTGAAGACCTCATGAGACAAAGACTATAGAAGAAGAGTAAAGAAGGAAAGAGATGACTAAAGAGAGGAGTTTGACAATCTGAGCAAACTGCCAAGGACCAAACCCAAGGACCACTGCCTTGAGTCCCGGCCTCTCAGGTGCCCAGAGACCCCTTCTGTATCTTTCTTTCAAACAACTCTGACAAAGCAATGCAATATATGCCTGTCATGTGGAGGTCAGGGAGGACAGATAAGAAAAGGGAAGTTCTTTGCCTTTTGTCAGCTTCAAAGGATCCACGTTAAGAAACAGAGTTACCATTGCTCACCCACAATCTCTAGAAGGATTAGTGATGTTTCTCATTTTTCTTTAAGCTCCCTGCACTCTATTTAGATTTCTCTCTGATGTCCTTTCAGCATCTCCTGCCCCACCCAAAGGGGGTAAGCACACCAGTGGAAATCCCCTGAGCAAACTAGCACATGCTGTACAAAAATATTATGTCTTGACTTTGTTCTTTTACATCTTCACAACTAAAGGAAAGAGATACAATCGAAATGATAGTCCACTTAAATGATAAACAAGAGAATTTAAAGAGACATGACTCAATTGTTCACCATGGACATAAAAAGCTCATGAGGTCCGGGTTAGTAGAGATACATACATATGTATTTCTCCTTAAATATTTTTACATAGTTTTGAGAATTTATCATTGTAGATGTCTAGAAAGCACATTCAACTTAATGTGCAAAACACACTGATTTTGTGATATGTTTTTCTGATGAAGCTTTCAAAGCAATATTACAAACCAGAGCGTAAGTGATTACCCAATTACCCAAATCATCTCTTATGTCAGCTGGGAAAAAATTTTAAATTTCAAAAAGAGGCCCAAATGCATAGCAGAGATAGAATATGCTACTTTCAACTGAATTCTTTCCCTAACATTTCTTTATGGCTTGTAGTCAAGAACATGATACTATAACAGGTGAAAATCACATCTGCATCCAAGATCCCCTCAACTTGAGGAGGAATTTTCTGGGAATAGTACAGATAACCCATCTCTTCTTTCTTTCTTTTTCTTTTTTTAATTAGGTCATCTCAATAAGACATGTTGAGGGAAGGTAAGTCATGCAGCTTCCAGGGACTAATTGTATTCAAACTCTGGAGCTCCCAAGTACCAATGCTATTCAAACTCTGGGGTGCGTTGATCATATATATTTCTGTAGCCATATTATAGGCTCAAATAACTAATTTAGCCAGAAATAGAGAGATAACAGAAGTTCTTAACATCCTATCCTGTCAGATGTTCTAAATTCTTTCCACTATGATTGGTCTTTCTGCTTCTTTACAAAGAGAGTGATCATAAATAAAAAAAACCAACAACAAAATTACTGTACTCTATGATCTGGATCCAGGTTTCTTGATTCCTTCGAAGATCTGGAAAGGAGTCATCTATCCATCTGGTTATGACAGGACTCCCGATAATGATCTCAAAAAAACTAATCCAACTCTTATCAAAATCTCAGCCATTCTTCACAAATAGCACCCCTTTACCTTGAGGCCATGTTAACAACAAACTGGATTGATACAAGTTTAGGCACAGTTTGAACTATGACTGTCTCCAACATCGGTCCTCCATGCCTTGGAGCCAACAAAGTTTATACGGAGCCTTTGTTCCTGAGAGTTTGATAACCAGTATGATGAAACTCTGTTTTAACCATTGCAAGACTGTAATTATGTAGCTGTTTAGAGATTAGAAGGTTTTCTAAAGTCGGATGGCAAAACTTTGACTATGTGTACATCATAAAACTCCATCTTCGTCCACTCAGCTCTACTGTGGTTGAATGAGAACAGCTGCAGACAGTACACAAGCAAATGGGTGAGATTGAACTCCAACAATGAGTTACTTATGTAAGAAAGTAAAGGATCAAATTTGGTTGCTGGGTCATAATTTGTCAACACTTGCACTTAATAATTTCCGTATACCTGTACTGAGTAGTCAAATTCAGATATGTACTAGAGATATGCAGAACTCAAAGGATTTTCTTCTTTATGGTTACTTTAGCACACTGAAAGTTTGACTGTTAAATTTTTTTTTAAATGGACCTTTAATAGTATGTGAAATCTGAAATTTTTATTTTGTACATTTATTTGTTTTTAGATATTATATTTATATATTGAGTATATTTAAACCATAACCACCCTACAGTCTTCTCTACTTACCCCTTTCTAATACCTACCAACTTCATGTCCTCTATTTTCTTAATAACCCACAGACTTCATATCCCCCATTGCTAGTAGTCTTAGCTAGAGTCACCCTCATAGACTCCTGGGAGTGTTCATTGTCCTAGCTTTCTAGCTAGTCCCAGAGATGCCCATCTCCTGTAACCAGGCAAGATTTCCAATGGAGGCATTGGGACATCATCCCAGCCACAAAATCTTAAACCCACAGTTTGTCCTACCTACAAGATGTGAAAAGTTAAAAGATGAAACAGAATTAGAGAGAAGGGCCAGCCAATGACTGTCCCAGCTTGAGATTCATGCCATGAGAAGGAGCCTACCCTGACACTATCAATGGTATTCTGTTATACATTCAGACAGGAGCCTAGCATAGCTATCATCTGAGAGACTTTACCTAGTATTGATCGAAACAAATGAAGACACCTACAGCCAAACATTAGGTGAACCTTGAAGAATCCTGTGAAAGAGAGGGAGGAAAGATTGAAGGAGCCCAAAGGGGTGAGGAAACTTACAGAATCAACTAATCTGAGCCCATAGAGGTTCATAGACTAAATTGTCAACCAGAAAGAATGCACAGGACAAACCTAGGCCCTCTGCACATATGCAACAGTTGTGCATTTAGGTCTTCATGTGGGACTCCTGATAGCTAGAGCAGGGTCTGTCTCTGACTCTGTTTTCTGCCGTTGGATCCCTTTCCCCTAACTAGGCTGCCTTGTCTAGCTTCAATAGAAAAAGATGCATCTAGTCCTATACAACTTGATATGCCAAGGCTAGTTGATATCCAAAGGAGGCCTCCCCTTTTCTGGGGAGAAAGAGAAGAAGGTTAGAGAAGGGTGGAAGGGGGAAGAGGGAGGAATTGGAAGCAAAGGATGGAGGGGAAGCTGCAATCCAGATGTAGGATAAATAAATAACTTAATTTTTAAATGGTTTTTAAAAGAAGAATTCACAGAATCCACGTTGTTTTGCTCTTGTGCTCATGAGTATAGGACTGTCCACTAGAGCTTGGGTAACCTACCATGGGACACACTTTTAAAGAAAACTGACTCTTGCTCCCCTGGTATTTATCAAACTGCCAGGGGCTCCTCAGCTAGGGATGAGGCCTCATGGATACCTGCCCTCTCCATATGGGTGTGTTGATTAATGTGACCTTGTGCCAGTCTTGTGTAGACAATCACAGCTTCTGTGAAAATATGAACACAAGGATCCTATTATTTTTCTAATAGATAATGTCACTGTACTTCTCTCTGGCATCTGGCTCTTCTAATCTTTCCTCCTCTCTTCCACCATGTTCCCTGAGCCCTTAAAGGGAGTGATTCATGGTTGGTAAACTATAAATCTGGCCATGAACCCATGCCCTGGGAGGTCATAGAGCATAGGGGAAAACACTACTATTTAAAAAAAATAGTATCAAACTGTCTTCTAGATATTTGTCCTTATGCCCATAGAATAGTCCAGCCTTGCCTCTCATTAGAGAAGCTCCTTTCTCACTTCTCTTTCAGAGAGCAGAGAACTGGGTGTGACCGTTGAGGGTTCAGCCCTAAGTGGGACAACCATATTCTAGCATCATTATCCTAAAACAAGAACCTGCCCAAACAACAAACTGAGGCGCGTCATAAGTTTTGATTTTGACCTTGTGATCCTATTACATTGGGCCCTGAGGTCATCTGAACCATCACTTGAAGTCTACCACCTTGCTCAAAAGTAAGTAGTTAAGTTCAGGTGCTGTAAGGAATACTAAAATACAGACAAAAATAAAAATTAAAAAGTCACATTCTACCTCTCCGTTTCCTCTACCTCTGCTTACAGCAGCAATCCTTTTGCTCAGACTTCCTGTTTCTGGCACTTGCCTTCTTCTGTGATGTTCATAGTTCCCTGTCTGTGGTTAAGTAGGCACAGAGCTGGGTTTGGTCTCCCCCTCTCTCATTCACTTGTGCACACAAGTGAATTCTCTCTTCTCTCTCTCTCTCTCTCTCTCTCTCTCTCTC